GTTTTTTTTTTTTTGGCACCGTTTTAAGGGAGTATAGTATTCTATGTTGTATTTCAAAAAATTCTGGTGATGGTCAATGCATATGTGTGTATTACTTTAGTTGCTTGATGAAATAATTATTCATTACTGCTTATAAAATGGCTTTCTTATGTGGTGATTTTTTTTTTTTTGGCATAAATTTATGTTTGGAGTTTCCAAGTCATAAATGGTGAACTTCAAAATATTTATGATTATAATGGGTTTTAATTTTGGTTTTAATTTCATCTCTATAAAATTGAAGTCAGTTAAGAAAGAGAAAAGTTCAAATTCGGACAATTATTGTGCTCGAGTTTTAATTTATCATTTTAATGTGATTGTTAAAAAACATCTATTCTAAATGCTAGGTTGACTCAGAAAATGTGAGTTTGATTATGGGTTTCTCAAAGAATGTAGGGGGAGAGAGAGAGAGAGATAGAGATAGGTTATTACGGCAATGAACTGTTTGTTTGGAGCTATTTAAAAATAAATTAAGGGTGATTTATTTAGTTGATCTTCCTGCAACAAAAAAATTAAACTGACACTCAGAAAATTCTATTTAACATTTTATTTGCTGTGTAATATATTTATTTAGTTGTACCATTCAAATGTAATATTTATTTGCTGTGTGATTCTAATGTATAGATGATAAATATTTTTCATTTAATTTTTTTGTGAATATCTAGAGTTCCTAATTAAAAGAAAAATTTGAAAGACTTGGCATTTTAACATTTATGTGTAATATGGCGAGAGAGTTTATGTTCTTCTTTTTTCTTTTTTTTTTTTGTCACCATTTTAAGGGAGTATAATATTCTATGTTGGCATAAACTCAACATAATATTCTTCATGAACACAACATAGAATATTCTATGTGTAATATTCTATTTTTCATTTAACATTCTATGTTTTTTTTTTTTTTTGAGTGTCAGTTAAAGGGAATATAATTCTGGTCAATCCTTATGTGTGTACGTATTACTTTAGTTGTCTTCATGAAAAAAAAAAATATATTAAACTTACAAGTATTTAACTTAACGCAAGTATTTAACATAAAGATTTTTGTTTTGAATCAAATTCAAAGAGTATTTAACTTAACCCAAACAAATGTATTTAACATTTTGTTATAAAAAAATTTTAAAAAAAATTGTATCCTTCTAAACAAAGAAGGCACGTGCCTCTGGTATCTGTTGACCTTTTTCTTTTTCTTAGAAGTTTATATTTTTATTTATTTATTTTCCTCTTGATTGTAACCCGTTAAGTATTTTATTTTCCTCTTGATTGTAACCCGTTAACATTGCCAATGAAATCCATGTTAACTTTTATTATTGCTAATTTTTTGTTTCTTTGTGTCTAAAATTTTTAGGTTGAAGTACAACAGTTATGAACAATATCACTATTTTTGGTCAAGTAAGTTTTTTTTCTTCTTTTTTCTCTTAATATAAATTTAAGTACCTCTCTAATAAATTTAAGTACAACAGTTATGGACAACATCACTGTTCTAATTATTTTTTTCCTCATGCTTTATAGGTGGATGGGGACTTACACCGAACCGTAATATCTCCTCTCTTTACTAATTTTCTTATTTATGTGTATAAAGTTTTATTTATTACTCTAAAGTTTTTGTATGTATAGGTTCGATTTCTTCAAGAAAGAAATGTTAACGTTGTTATTCGGGATGAGCGTGACCTTAATACGGTTCGCATTCATGAGGTAAGCATAAAAGTCACTTGAATATTGGACATTTATTTTCTTATCATTTTAAAAATAATTTATAAATATATTCTACTTATTTTTTACAGGCAAAGGCAAAGGAAAAAGACAAAGCAATATCAAAGGAAACAAAAAAAGCTATTCCTTATGGCAAAGGAAAGGAAAATGCACATCCCATGGTATGGTTTCTCAACAATTTTTAAAAGTTTCTTTTTCGAATATTATATAGATTTTTTTAGGAATTGCGTAGTGTCATATACTATTTTTTATGTACATTTTTCAAAAGTTTCTTTTTCAAAAATTTATTCAATTCTTTTTATTGAATGTGAAATGTTTTTCTGAAGCATGTTAAAGTAAGCATTTGTACAACATGCTAATGCATTTGTATGAACATTAATTTGAATTTTTAATATGTTTGTCTATTTGTATGGACACATGTTGCATCTACAACATAACATAATAAAAATATAATAGAAGAAAACGAAAAAGGAAAATAAGAAGAAATAATTGAATATGTTGCATTTCAAAAATTCTGGTCAATGCATATGTGTGTATTACTTTATTTGCTTGATGAAATAGAGATATATTTTATTTATTTTTGAGTGTTTGACAACTCTTACTTCGTAAGTTACGTTTTGCTGCGAAGTTCTTAAGGAAAGAAGAAAAAGACAAAAATGTATTTTAATATAACAGAAACAACAAGAAGAGAGAAAAGGAAAGTACAAGACATTACACGCTAATATTCACATTTTATGTACCCAATGATCTAATATTTACCTTTTCAACGTACATTTTGTAAAGAGATGGGTAGTGTCTTAAAACCAATAAGTGCGTGCATAGTGAGTTTGCAGTTTTGTGTGCTTAATGTGTTTTCAAATTGTATGTGCCTTCCTTTTTAAATTTCATAAATACATGCATTGGTTCTTATATGACTAACAACTTAACCGAGTGAAGAGGACAAGTTAGTTAAAAGGAAGAAAAAATACATGATGAAAGGGAAGCAAGTTAGTTAATCTTCACATTTTATGCACCTTCTTATATAATATTCTCATTTTAGGCACATAATGATAATGTGTTATCAAAAGCTGCATTGGCCCAACGTGCACGGCGAGAACGTGAAAAAAATCAAAAGCCATGTTCTGCATACCAATTGGGACAACGCCTGCGACGAGAACGAGAAAGAGAAAGATCAAAGGAATGTATTAACCCAAGACAACCTTCTTTAACACCAAATTGGTAAAAATAAAAATAATTTTTTACCCAAGACAATCTTGAATTTTTTACTCTTACTATTACCACTTTATTATTATATAGATTTTAATTTGTTCACAATCTATTTCTGTAGGCCTCCTCCTACAACTCCATGTAGAAATGTTGGTGTGGTCATCCGTGATGAGCACGACCTTAATGTTATCCGTGTTCGTGCGGTAAGTACAAAATCAAGTCAAACATTATATGTATTTTATTTATATAAGATTTTTTTAATCTTTTCAATATTTTATTTATATTTGTTAGGCAAAAGATAAAGAAAAGGTCAACCCAATGTCTAAAGGAAAAGAAAAGATGGCTCATTCCGGCAAGAGAATGACAAATGCATGTCAAGTGGTATATATTCTTTTTTAAAAATATGATGCAAAACTAATCAAAACCAGATTAATGTTTCGAACATTAGATTTCAAATATCTAATGTTCATCAGATTTCAATAATGTTTGAAATTACAGGATGAATGTTTCAAACATTAGATTTCACACATCTAATGTTCATCAGATTTCAATAAATTTTGAAATTATAGAATGAAACATCAGATTCATTTACATCATGAACATCATGATGATGTATAAATGGGACTCAATGGAGCATAAGAAAACTTTTAGGACTAAATGGTTCAACTTTTCAGAAACTAGGATTTATGGGTAAATTTTCCGTAAAATAAATATC